CTTGGCAGCCACTCCTAGTATGTGACTAAGCCCTTCCTTCCTTTTTTCCCAAGATTCCCTAGGACAGGAAGCGGGCTCCACAGAGAGTTCCTCTGTGGCCCATGGACGGTCATAAATTTGTTTGGGGTCACTCAGCGCTATTTTCATCAGGGTTTCTGCTGCAGAGGAAGCAGGGCTGTTTCCCTCCTCTTACCTACGTCGGTGGCCCGGCCTATGGAGTCGAGGTCATGGGCAGTTATGTTAAGAAACTGTCCAGCAATCTGGACACAAAGTGACTAGTCTTCTTGGTTTGCCTGAGACTGAGGGCATTCTTGGGATGTGGTCAGCTCTAAAACCCAGATCTCCACAGCGAACCAGGGCAGTTGGTCATACTGTTGAGGAGCTCCTGGAGCTTTGCATAGCTCGGCAGCTGAAGGAAGCCCTGTGGTCACACTGTAGGATGTCCATCCGGATCAGTAGTGGCTCTAGGGGAAAAGGGTGGGGTGGGGCGGGGGGAGGATTCACTTGGGAGATGGAGGAATGTCACTCTAACGCATCGGTCTGTACCTTTGTTAGGGTCACATTTCTTTCTGGAGAGCTACCATGGTTCTGGTGAGCACCACCATGGTTCTGGTGAGCACCAATGTTCTGGTGAGCACTATCATGGTTCTGGTGAGCACCAAGCTTCTGATGAGCACCACCAAGGTTCTGGTGAGCATCACCATGGTTCTGGTGAGCACCATCATGGTTCTGGTGAACATCACCATGGTTCTGGTGAGCATAGCTGGGAGGTTCCGCTAGCTAAGGGCTTTTCCTCTGAATTATTGCTTTCTTCTATGGCCTGTGACTTGGGTTCCCCAAAGGACCTGAGATTTTTAAAGTGAACCTCAAGTAAGCCAGAAGTCCTGGCCTACACATTTTGACACTTATAGCAAGGACGTCTTCCTAGCCAAGGGACATCAAGAACCCTACCCAAAACTACGTAGACAAACTCCAAATATCACGAAAGGCTGTGACATATTGGGGGCTCAAGTCTATACATTCAAAATAGAAAACAGTCCAGCACAGGGTTATTCTTGCCTAATAGATGTCAGGCCTTGTTACTATTTCTGTGACCCTCAAATATCACATTCTCTGGGGTCCATGGGATCCTCTAGAAAGTCTGAGGCCCCTGACACTGACCCTAGCTTCAGTGGAAGGAACTCGGCTGCTGTTTGACGGGCTTCCATTTGGGATGAGTTCAGTGGTGCGAAACTCGGAAGCCGATACCGAAGGCGTCCTTGAAGTTTGATGCCACCGTCGTCCCTCAGTTTTACTTTAGCTTTCTTTAGTTTTCTTTTTCCCACCACAGATCCTGGTCAGCCCCTGGATTTGCTGTTTCTCCAGGAGCTAACTATTTATTCTGTCACAGCCTTCCAGTCATTCTTCCTGTATTGTTCTCCACCCACCAGGCTTTTCCTGAGGGAAGTCGCTAGGGATGCATCTGAGGCCAGATGGTGTAAATATTTCCATCCTAGCCTCCCGGTGTATCCTAGGGAAATGTCGCAGAGTCTGAGACCCTTCTCTGGACAACAGCTTTGGCACGACCTTAGATAAGTCTCTGGGACCTTTGGCTAGCAGTTATCTGATGCGGGCTGCATTGAGTGGTGGTGCCAATCGCCAGAACTTTGGGGAGGGTTTAGATTGGACAGTGTGTCTCATAGATGTGACTCTCAGTGTTGGCTGGCTCTTCTGCTGTTAGCTAATACGGGCCACACCTCTTCTCTCATTTGCTATTCTCTACTGGAGAGAGGTCTGTGTTCTAGTTTCTTTGGCTGCTGTTGCTATTGGGTCTGTGTATGTGGGAGTTAACAATGAGGACCAAACCATGTGTCCTTGTGTATCGGGGAGGCAAGGGACAAGGTTCGAGATAATGTGGGACCCTGGTGGCTGCCCAGGTTTGCCATGGTGTAGCAGTAACGGAAGCTGGCTTGGGTTGCCTCCGCAAGCTCTGTTCCTCTGCAGAAGAAGACTCTGTAGAGCCTTCCTGCAGCTCCTCTGGTTGATTCTTCTGCTTTCTACAGAATTCTCCCACTAGCATGTGGTGAGAGGGCGGGTCCTGGCCAGTTGCCAGGCCTCTGACTCCTCCCCTTTGGGTCTCTTGCTCTTAATCACCAACAAGTGCCCACTTCAGATCACAAAGGAAGTCATGGCAGAAGCGCCTAGCTCTTGTCCCTTATTCCCAACACCCCTTTGTAGAGATTTGGCAGAAATTCTTACATAGAAGATGGAGGGGAGAATTTTTTTTTTTTTTTGTAGACTCCATCGCTCTCTTTTCAGCCTTTCTATTAAGACCGACTCTGATAGAATTACATGAGGAGGGGAGTGCACACAGCAATCAACAGGGCACCACCCTGAATTTGAACACAGTGATGGCACAGAGTGTTGGAATAACGAGTTCCATCCTCTTTATCATTTTGTGCCATCAGAACTGCTTCTTTTCTTTCTCTTTTTGAATAAATAAAAAAATTGCATCCACAGTTAGGGTCCCTTGGATGGCTCCTTCCAATCTGACTCCCACAACTCACTCAGCAAAACCAATCACTTTTGTGAATTCTGTGTTTTTTTTTTTCCCCTCTTCCATATCCACGCACGCTCAGTCACTGCAAAGAATAGTTTGCAATTTTCGACACCAACAAAATGCTATTGTTATGCAGATTGCTTGCCGACCCCGCTGCTACTTTGCAGTCTGAGATACATCCATATAGATGGATGTAACTATAGTTAAGAGTCTGTGTTTTCTTCCAGCAAGGAGATGTGGGCTTAGCTCACAAAAATTGCGGATGGCGTGTCTTCTGGGTCAAAGGAAAAAAATGTGGGTGAAGTAATAAAGAACAGGCAAGTGAGCCTTCAAGGTCCATTTTCTTGACGTTTTGGGGTGAGGGTTGGAGCAGAGAAGCGGGAAGAAGAGAAGGGGGAGGGGCTTCACTTCCTGCAAGTGTCAGTGTTGGGATGCTCTCCTTATTAGAGACACTTTGACCTTAGAGTTCCAAGGTGAGCTACTATAGTAGAAATAACCAAGTCTGTCCCCAGGGATCTGGATGACCTGTTAAGTCGCTGTGTGACTTTGGTAAAATCACCACTCATTTCTATGCCTAAACTTCCCAACATTCATTTTTTGTGATGTTTCTTTCTCCTTCATATTTAGCATCAGTATTTTGGCAGATCAGGGGCCTTCTCCTTCTCTTACTGGAAAGCACAGTGTTGTTCACTCCGCTCTCTCACTTTCCACTGTTAAAATTACAGTCCGGTCTCCCACTCCCTCCCCTGACTTTCTAACGGCCTTCCAGCTGGCCTCGCCTTCCGGTTCCTTCTGTGTCCCTCCCGTGCTTCTCCTAGCAGAGTGATCACTTTCATTGAGCCCCTGCACTGCTGAGAATGTCCCATAGCTTCCAACCTGACCTGTTCCATCTCTGCCTGCCACAAAGTGCTCCTCTCTCCTGGCCCTGCTCCATTTACCAAGCATGGCTTCTCACCTGCCCAGCACGTGCAGGTTGACTTTTACTACCATACACACATACAAAGCTCATTGCTACCCTGCATGCTTGTTTCTTGCAGATTCAAAGAGCTTTAGAGTTGTTCATTTTATTTCATGGGTTTTGCCTGCATGTGTCTATGTGTACCACATGCATGCTTGGTGCCTGGGGAGGTCAGAAGAAGGCATCGGGTCCCCCGGAACTGGAGTTACGGATGGTTGTGACCCACTGTGTGGGTGCTAGGAATAAAACGAGTATGTTCAACTGAGAAGCCATCTCTCCAGTACCCCCTTGAAGGTTTCTTATGTACTTTCTTATATACTTTAGGTTCAAGTTTTTTGATGACTGTCTGCAGTGTTAATGCTTTTTTTTTTACTCTGCCAGCTGTGCAGCAGTCTTTTGCTTCCACCTTTTGATTAGCAAAAATTCTTGAATTTAATGTATTATAGTCTATACATTATTATTATTATTATTATTATTATTATTATTATTATTATTATTGATGTGGGGAGAAGAATAGTTCTTTTCCAACCCTGCTTAGAAAACCATTGACAACTTAAATTATACAGATAGTCAGCCGTAGTTTCTGCAAGTTTATTTTTAGAGACATCTTTTAAAATGTCCCATCCTCCCTACCTCTGGGGCTGGGGAGCAAACACACAGGCTCACGTTCCAAACCTCACATCTCCTTTATAGGCCATGAAACCTGTGTTCCATACCAGGGGCATTGCCTTGGACTTCCCTTCCTGAAGGAAGGCTCACTTCACAGGGACTGCCGTCAGAGCTTTCTCTGTGCAAGGACACAAAGGGTGACCGGGTAGGCTGGGCTGTGGTGACTGAACAGCTTGTACTTTGCTGGGACAGTGGCCACTCACCTCTGCTGATTGTTTGAGAATGAAAGCCCTGGGTGATAAATCTTCCAGTTTTCAAAATAAAGACAAGCATTTTGGGATAAATAAAAACATTTTGATTTCCAAATGGCATTAAGCAGTTAAAACTAAAAGTTTACTCTAAAGGAGGGGGAAAAAGATGTTTGTGGGTTTACTTTGTGGTTTAAGTTTGTCATAAGATAAAAGAGCAGCCACCACACCATACGTGCTTCGCGGGCCAGTGATGGGGACACCATTTAGACACGCTAGAAATGCAAAACCTCAGGGTTCAGCTCTGAGCAGAATACCCAGAAACAATCCAATTAGGTGCTCACTGCATATATAAAGTATAGATGGAAGTTTCTGTCCCACCCTGTCCCATAGCCATTTATTCCCAAATAAACACTCAGAGGCTTATATTAATTACCTATTAGCTTAGGATTATTATTAACTAGCTCTTACAACCTAAATTGACCCATATGCTTCGCCATGTGGCTTGGTACCTTTACTCAGTAAGGCATTTTTTACCTCGCTTCCTCTGTATCTGACTGGCAACTCACCCTTTGCCTTTTCTTCTTCCCAGAATTCTCCTAGTCTGGTTGGCCTGCCTATATTTCCTGCCTGGCTACTGGCCAATCAGTGTTTTATTAAACTAATACAAGACAAATCTTTACAGTGTACAAGAGCATTACTGCAGCAAAGAAGCACTGATTTGTGCATGTGGTTCTGAACCCTGCCTTAAACTGATGTGATCATATGGGAATTTAAAGCAAAAGTAACTGTAACTCCTGTAGCTGCCCTGCAAACCACAAAAGTCAGAACCCATGTTGATGAAGCCTAAGCATCAATATATTTATATATGTTTAACATATAGATTTAATATATACATACATCACAACATATGCATATACAATACATACACACATATGTATGAAATATTAAACCTAGCCTGAATGACCCAAATAAACAGCCAGGATTCAGAAGTTCTGATCTGGTCAACCCCTTCTTTCATAACTGGAGAAATTAAAGACCCCAGAAGTGGACAGGTCAAATGCCTTGTCCAATGTCGTCTGCCCAGTCCATGGAGAAGTCTCATGATTTCCAGCTAGTGCCCCATCCCCCAATTACTTCTGACTCCTGGGGGCAGAACCGCAGAATGAGTCTGATGGCCTCATCTTATTTCTGCCAGATTGCCTACTAACGTTAGCTTTCAGCACCGAGCAGACCGCAGGGTTTTCTGCATGGAGACCCGGCCCTTCCTTCTGCCTACTCAAGCTGAGATCCATTCGTTCCCACTGCCCATCAACGTGCTAACTGCTCCCGCCATGAAGAAAGGGAGAGAGACCCTGGGGGTCCAGATGTCACCATGGAGGCCCACCGGGGAGAGGGGCCAACCCATTTGACAGCAGTATGAGGGCTAACGTTTGGCACTAGCTAGGGTGATTGTGACTGCTAGAGTCTTGTCGCATGCTTGGGCTATGTCATTAAACTGCAGGTCCAGATGGCAAGACTCAGTGGGCTTGGACACTTCTGACCTAAATTTTATAGGCAGCTGTGAAGATTAAGTAAGTTACTTGGAAACAAGGTTATCTACCTTTTTTTCCTAGGAGGAGCTTGTGCTTGCATGGTTCTGGTCCAGTGGTTTAGTTCTTGAGAATTTTTGTGGCTGAGAGGACAAAGTCCATCCGTCAAAATTAATGTGTTGAAGACTTGAGCTCCTCTGTCTGTATTTGGAAAATATCATGAAAGAGGCCAGTCCTGGAGGGCTTTCCAACTTTTTGGGTTTTCCACTGAAGAAAGACCCATCATGGGCTATGTATTCTCAATGCTGTGCAAAGCTCTGAGCGTGATTCATGACACTATAGCACGAAAGAACTACCCTGGGCTGTACGTGGCCCGGGGGTGGTGGCTGGACACACCTTTGCGTCTCTAGTGATGGTGAATTTCTCTGCCCTTTCTACTTCCTCGTCCTTCCTTTTCAACCTTAAGCAATCAAAATACCACTCACCTAGCCTCGCCCTGGTCCCCACCCTGTGATTCAATCTGCGGTCCCCCTTTAACACTTATTTATATCTAGTGTGTGTGTGTGTGTGTGTGTGTGTGTGTGTGTGTGTGTGTGTGTGAGAGAGAGAGAGAGAGAGAGAGAGAGAGAGAGAGAGAGAGAGAAAGAGAGAGAAGAGGTCAGAAGATAAGTTTTAGGGATCAGTTCTTTCCTGGGGATTGAAATCAGATTATCAGGTTTGATGGCCTTTGTCTACTGAGCCATCTTATCAATCTATCAGCCCACAGTCTTCCTTCTTTGGACTCTGTTATTTTGGTGGCAGTAGTAGGGCTGCTTATAATGGAGCCCCGAACCTTGTTCATGTAAGGCAGGCACTCTTCTGACAGCTTCGGCCTACACCCTTTGCTCCATTTCAGCAGCCATAGGAACAGGAACTATTTTGAGGGCTGGGAAGAGAGATTTTAGACAGGACCCCGTCTTGTGGGCAGCTAGGTGGACAGCATGGGGAGTTATGACCGCTCCTCAGCCATCTCTCTAACGGTACCATTCTTTCTCACTCCGCTCCAGTCCTCCCATGCCTATGCATTGACCTAGGCCTTGCTGCAGTTAGAGCCAGAATGATCTGCGTAGGCTCCACACACCTGGAGTACCGTCAGTGGACTGCACCCTGGAACTGGGTTTGACCTCTGGGTGGGAATATTTAATGAAATGGGTGCACCCAGACTGCTGCAGGATCGAGATAGCATACATGGCGGGTCTTTGATAACAGCTGGCTACAAAGTAATTATAAGGCAATGGCGACACTACTTCTCTTAAGGTCCTAGTCTTGGTTAAACCACTGGCACTTGGTAGGAACCTCCAGTCCATACTTAGGACTTGCGTGTACCCTTCCAGCTGATCTTTTGCTTTATTCTCTGCAGGTAAAGAAGCTCCTTCCAAGGATCCACCCGAATCAAGTGAGGACGCAGCCTCGCTTGAAAACAAGGGAAAATGTTTCCTGCCACAGAACATGACTCAAGGTATTGGAATCACAAAGATAAGTTCAATAAAAAAAAAATACCTGTGGGTAGAGTATTTCAGAAGCTTCCTCATCTCTCCCTCTGTAGACCCCCACTCCTGTTACCCTCGTTTCTCGTTACCTCCATGTGTATCTTTGTGTGTCTTTATCATCTTGTGAGTGTGTCTTTATCATACCGTCACACTCACAAACCTCCCAGACTGTTAGTCAAAGCTCTTTAGAATCCAGCATGTGTCAGGAACTCCATATATAATTTCTGAGTTAGAGAAACATCTTATTTATTAGATTTCTAAGGTGATATAGGGGCGGAATTAAACTGAAAAAAATGTGTATTCAGCATGCGCCTTTGTATGTATGCAGTACATAAATGTCTAGAAAATGTATGGCAGAGACATGGGATGAGGAATGAAAATGTGGAGGACCCATTTCTATCCTATGTAACACTTACCACAGTCTCTTCATATTCGAGGCGCTGAGCAAATATTTCTCAAGCAAATGAATAATCAAATGAAGACCTGAGTGTGCAGAATGAGATTGACTGGGTAGATGTATCTGAACGAATATTTTAGAAGCAGAAAATGATTTGGAAATCAATGTGATGGAAGATATCCATTTTCATTAATGTCTCATAAGGTCCTCTTATGTGTGGCTTCAGTGAAATTCACAAAGAGAGAATTCTCATTAGAAAATGATAGCATTGAGATGAACCTTACAGCAGAAACCAGATGACAGATATAGGAGGTGTAATTTCTGTAGCAAAGCTTCTGGTGAGCAATAGTGGGGACCATTTTTTCTTTTTTCTTTTTTTTTTTTATTTAGTATTTAAGACAGGGTCTCATTATGTAGCTCTGGTTGTCCTGAAACTTGCTTTATAGATCAGGTTGGCCTCAAACTCACTGATATCCATCTGCCTCTACCTTCCTAGTGCTGTGATTAAAGGCATGTGCTGCCACACTGGGCTTAGAGGGGACCATTTTGAGAGCAGATCCTGGTCAGGAGGTCTGTTACATGGCCCTCTTTTTACACAATCTCCTTTGTTTGGTGACACCCAAGTCCTTACCTATCAAATGGAGAGGTAGGAAGCAGAATCTCAGGAGGGACAGCGACTCGACTATCATATACTATGTGACAAGGAAGAGGCTTAAACTCTTGTCGTCAGGGTTCTCCAGAGGACCACAACTGATAGGATATAGAAAGAGGATTCGTTAGAGGGTCCTACAGTCTGTGGTCCAGCTAGTCCAACAATGACTGTGCTAACACAATGTCCAACAATCCAGTAATTGTTCAGTCTATGAGTCGGAAAGCCTTAGCTGGTCCGCAGTATACACTGGAGTCCTGATGAAGAAGACTCTAATGCCAGCGAAGGATGGACTTGCTGGTGAGAGCGAGGGCAAGCAGGCAGAGAGCTGAAGCTTCCTTCATCCCCGTGTCCTTTATACAGAATGCTGCCAGGAGGTGTGACTCTGATTTATGGTGGATTTTTCCACCTCAAAAGATCCAAATTAAAGGTGGGTCTTCCCACGTCAGATGGTTTAATTAAGAAAAGTTCCTCACAGGTGTCCCTAGCTGCTTGGGGTTTAATTAATGACAGACGTAGTCGAGTTGACAGCGAAGTTGCCATCACCCTTGTCCTATTTGTAACCATCATGGTCCACACTCTTCCAAAAATATACTTTCCCTTGTGATGGAAGATTTGTGAGAGAGTTATATTTATCTCTATGTATATAAATGATGTAAATCGATATTATATAATTATCAAACCAGGTTCTGTCTATTTGCCTTTGGAAATTGTGTCTAAATGCTAGTTTCTAATTAAATGTTTTAAATCACGTTTACTTATGCGTGTGTTTGTATGTGTGTGGGTACACATATCAGAACTCGGGAATTGGCTCTCTCCCTCCACTATGTCTATCTCAGGACCAAACTCAGGACATCAGCCTTAACACGTGCCTTATCCACTGAGCCATCTCGACAGTAATGAGACAAATCTTGCTCTTGGGTCATTCACCTGCTTGACATCTGTAAGCTTGGGCCGTCCCAGAAAACCCTTTGACTTTGCCTTTGGCTGCTCAGAACCGCGCTGGAGTCAGCATATTGTCTTACTAGTGCGTGAAAGTGGATAACTTTCCAACGGGTGTCATTCGATGAAACCGAATCTCCAGGCAGAGCTTGCAGGAAGGTCATGGTGTGGAAGTGGGAGACTTGGTGCTAGCTTTCAACCTAGCTTGATGCAGGTCGATCCCAGACAGAATCAGTACATTACTGGCCTGGCTTCCAGAAAGATTAAAATAGGACACAGCCTGCTGCAGTCTGCACTAGAGTGAACTGGACTTACTGCCCCGTGTGGTGATTTGGGGTATTACAGGATTCCACCTGCCCAGAAGTTCTGCTCTCAGTATCAACTAAGATTTTAAAAGATGGTTTATTCAAATTCAGGATCTCTCCATTTTGTATACATGGGTTCACACATCATAAGAAGAGTCACAATGAGGACACCACCAGAGGGCAGCAGTGATTTTGGAGATCCTAAGAGGGAGTTTGCCTTAGGTTTTGGAAGGCAGGAGAGACGGAGTTTAGCAGAACAGAAGCCAGCAGTATCAGCTATTGTCAAGGTTAACAGTATCAGCAGTTGAGGACATTGGTGAGCAGAATTGCTGGGGTATTGGGACTGAGGGATGGTCCAAAAGCTTCACATGTATTGAGCATTTATTATGGGCCAGGAACTAAGAGAAGAGGTATATGCATAGCTCTTTGGAAAAGGTCCCTTTCAAAGCCCTGTCATGGGTCTTATCAAAACCATTTTTTTTTTCTAACAGGACTATCAAGCATACAAAGGTAGTTAACTGCTCAGGGTGGCATAGGCTTGAGAGCAGAGCTAATCCCTGAACCTGAGGGTCTGAGAATCCTCCCTTGGCTTCTTGTTTGTGCTATCATTCATCCTGGAGGTTAGCATGAAGGACTGCCAGATGGAGCTGGGGAGAATGGCCAGATGTGGAGAGGGACTTAGGTAGACTGGAGGGAACACAGATCAGAGAGGATCTGAGTGGAAGAAATGGCCTCTTACCTAGATGCAGGTCGTTTGAATGTGTGCAGGAGCTGACCTGCAGCCGCAGACAGTACTTTCAGCACCTCTGGGTTGCAAATGGGCCTTTTCCACGTGGGCGTTCAGACTGCCCTGTGGACTCCACCCGCAGGATAAGGGCCATCTCTATAACCTGGCTTCAGCCAAGTTGGGATGAGGAGCTGGTTTCTCTGAATTCAGCCCAATGCTTCTATTTCTCCTGTTAGCTTATTATTAACAAACTTGATACTTCATATCTGAAGAAACCATTTCTGAAAGGACAATTTCTGTAGCAAAGGGACATCCTGTGTGGCCTCTTCTAACAACCCCAAACACATATCCAACTGCATATAACTGTTTCTTGATTCCATTGCATTTTCCTCCCTCCTTAGTTCTTTTCTCTATGAGAAGAAATCCTTGGCAGGCAGTTCTGTCCAAGCATCACTCATGGGAACAGGAGCTAACCTTGTTCTTTGTTGTACGAGTGCATCTAAACAGACTTCCAGGAGGCTTCAAGGAGTTTTTGTTAAATGACTGTGATCTCTGAAGAAAATAAAGATTGACTCTTAGTATCTCCCTGGTTGTCATAAGAAATGTTAGTCCTGAAGCATGAAAAACAGGTTGGGAAAATGTGTGCAAACAGATCATAAGATAATATTTATTTCCTAGTGTACATTTGTGTGTAGGGACTGGAGAAATGGCTCAGTGGTTAAGAGCACCGCTCTTTCAGAGGACCCAGGTTCAATTCCCAGCACCCACATGGCAGCTTACAACTGTTTGTAACTCCAAGATCTGATAGCCTCATATAGACATATGCAGGCAAACCACCAATGCACACAAAATAAAAATAAATTAAAACAGAAATATGTTTAATGAAAATAAATTTGTGTATAAATGCATCCCCTTCAGTTTGGATAATGTAGCCTTCATTTGGAACATTCACACATCGTCTGCTGGAAGCAAGGTCCGTCCTGGCTGGTTCTGTATCAGCACCTGAGCAGAAGTGACCACTGTGCCCCTCTCCAGAGCCCTGCTGACCTTCAGTGTCTTTCCCTGTCCCCAGGGAGGACACTTGGAAAGGGAACATGGAGAAATCTTTAGCTTACTCTGATCTATCGTCAGTGGAGGATAGCAATTTAGGGCTCGTGGGCGAAACATTCTCTCCTTCCCTCTCGTTCACTGTGGGTTCAGCTTTGACTCTCTGTTCTCATTCACTATGTCTGCAGCCTTGCATCTCTGCTCTCGCTCACTATGTGTGCAGCCTTGCATCTCTGCTCTCGTTCACTGTGTGTGCAGCCTTGCATCTCTCTCTGCTCTCGTTCACTGTGTGTGCAGCCTTGCATCTCTCTCTGCTCTCGTTCACTGTGTGTGCAGCCTTGCATCTCTCTCTGTTCTCATTCACTGTGTGTGCAGCCTTGCATCTCTTTCTGCTCTCGTTCACTGTGTGTGCAGCCTTGCATCTCTCTCTGCTCTCTTGCAGACCTGGTGCTCTCATTCTGTGTGAAGAGTCGCTTCAGGAGCTGTGTCAATGCACCCTTGCAGGAGGCTGCACGGAGGCGGCTCTGGGCCCTGGAGAATGAAGACCATGAAGTCCGTGCACTGTTTAAGGTGAGCTGGGGTGGCTGGCTCTCGGATCTCGGGTCCCTAATAGCACGGACTGGGCCTGGAACAAAGTACATCCCCTCAAAAACATCTGGCTGTCAAACAGTAAAGTGGCCTAAACCAGAGGAACCCCCCTCCTGGCCCCCAAATTTGGTCAAGTTACTTGCACTAATGCAGAATCAGGATATTTATAGCAACCGCCTCAGAAGTATACTTCCCCTATAACTTGCTACATTTGAATTTTGTTTTGTTACTAGGGTACAACATTCACATATTTTCCCATTGTGATTTAAAATGCACAATTCACTTATCTTTGTCTCCAGAAGATTCTATCCCCATCACTCCAAGTTCATTCTCTGTGACACAAATAACTGTCCATTTTCTCCTTTTCCTTGGGTCTTGGTAAACATTGAACACATTTCTTTTTTTTCTCCTGAAGACAGAGTTTCTCTGGGTAGCCCTGACTGTCTTGGATCTTACTCTGTAGACCAGACTGGCCTTGAACTCACAGGGATCCACCTGAGGTGTATGCCATCATCACCTGGCAAGCACATATTTTATTTTTTCTTTTCTTTTTTTTTCTTTCTTCCCTCCCCCCGCCCCCCAGCCACCCAAGACAGGTTTCTCTGTGTAACAGCCCTTACTGTCCTGGAACTAGTTCTGTAGGCCAGACTGGCCTCAAACTCGCAGAGATCTGCCTATTTCTGCCTCCTAAGTGCTGAGATTAAAGGCATATGCCACCATTGCCTGGCCAAGCACATATTTTTAAAGTATTAATATTGTCAGTGAAAAAGCCATAACTATAAATGTTGGGATGAGAGTAAAAATGAAATAAATTAAATGGACTTTCATAGTAGATAGATTAAGTTGTATTTGGTATTATGAAAGGTCTGATCAAAGACTGAGAGTCAGAAACAGAGAGAATTTGTTGTGGTCGGTAGTGGGGAAAGAAAGTATTGCTTTACATGATAATCTAATATGTCTTATTCTTTTTATTTCCTCCTTAATCTGGCACAAGCTAAAAGGAGAAAAGTGTGTGGCTGTCATGTAACTGAGTGACAGCGGCTGGGTTTTAGAAGAAAGCAAGGCTACGCCTGTAGAGCTTTGTTTAGTACACTGTAGTCATGGTATCTGCTCCATAATCAATAGCTAAAAGTTAAAAAGAAACGCGTGTCCCTGTGTGTGACTGTGGTGCATGCGCATGTGCGTGCATTTGTGTGTATGCGCAGTCCTTGTATGCATATGTGTGTGTATGCGCTTGTGCATGTATGCGTATGTGTGAGGATGTGCATGCACCGTGCAGATCACCATGCTTGCGCATTCGAGGAGGCTGGAGGGGGACATTAGGTGTCCTGCTCTGTCACTTTTCTCTCTTTTCCTTTGAGATGGAGTTTCACTTACACTGGAACCAGGCTGATGGCCCGCAAGCCCCAGCATTCCTCCAGTCTCTGCCCCCACCCCTCAGTACTGGGGTTACAGGTGTATGGACGACAACTGATTTTTCTTACATGGGTGACGGGACCTAAACTCATGTCCTTATGCTTGAACAACAAGTGGTTTTACCTCCTGAGCCATTTCTCCTGCCCTGGGCTTCTAAATTTTATTCTATTTTAATTCCTGGAATTCAGGAAGTAAAGACACCTGCTGCCGATGGCTTTAATGAATTTCCCTTCCAATTAAACGACCTTTGCTGTGGGCAGGAGCAGAGTTTGATGGCGAGAGCTGTCCGTTAGGCTATATCGTACTTGAGCTGAGTATGTTGAGGGGTGGAGGCTGAGGCCAGAAGCTGGCTGTATCCCAGAGATAATCAGGGCTCTGTAGCGCGCTCACTGTAGGAGACCCTAGGCAATTTACCTCACCTCTCTGTGTCCTCATCGTTTTTGTTTACAAAACTGGGGCGATGCTAGTAGCTTCACGATACTATTAAACAGAATGCTCATCCTTTTTTAGTGTAGATCTGAAGGAAAGTGCGCCTGCCCTGTTAGGCTGGGTGATGCACTTCCTCGTCTTTCATTTTGTGAGTTAACACAAAAACCTGTCTTAGAGTGGACTAAATACCACTATCACACTCTTTCCAGGTATTTATTGTGGTAGCTGAATGAAGCGTTGTGAAGATTTACCTTACAAAGGTCTGACATCTAGCAAATTCACTATATATATATATATATTTTAACCCAGCAGCCCTGCTTGCTCTCAAGGTCTATACCTGCTCTGAACCTGGGGCTTCTGAGTCTCTCTCTGGTGTTGACAGATTGCAGATTCCCACTGGGCTTGGGCTCTTCTTTTGGATCCTCTTCCCTGTAGACTCCCTAAGGACGGGGTCTAGCAGTTCCTGACCCTGGGGTGGGATGGTCAGAGGGGAAGCAAGTGCCACGGGTTCAAGCCTACTTTGTTCCATTTTAGACAGCAAGGAGGTCCCAGGCCTCTTCTTGTTCTTCTTATGCAAATACATTGGCAAATATTTTTGGAGGTTGTTTGGGTGGCTGCATTTTTGAATAGACGATGCATGTGCTTCTTAGAATTGTGTGCAAGCAAGGATGTGCATAAAGATTTATCTATTGAGGTAGTTATCCCAGGGCTGTTTAGGGCAATAAGACTGTAAAATAACCCAAATGTGAAAGATATGAAATAATGGCATTCATAAGCAGTAAGCATAATGTAGACAGTCCTTGCCGTGAGAGATGATTTATAGCATCTTGCTTAGTAGCCATTCATCTGCTGGTGATTAACGCTGGGTCCTCACATGACCTCCTTAAAGGACTCTGTGACCACACGCTGACTTGTTGCTCTTGCTCAGGATCTCTCTGCAAGGCTGGTGAGCATTCAGTCCCAGAAGGACCAGTTCCTCATCACCTTCAAGACTGTGGAAGAAATCTGGAAGTTTTCCACCTACCTGAACTTAGGTACGCCCTGGGTAGGTAGAGGAGAAACATGCTTCTCAATCTAGCCAGCTCTTGAGCCTGACATCAGGGAACTGGTTGGTCTCTGAGAGTTAAAAGAAATGCAGCCCTGAAATGGATGGTTAGCCTTTTGAAATATCATAAATTCTCTAAAGCTAATTCTAAAATAAATATTAACTATTACTCTAAAATGTCATGTGAAGAAATTTATTTCCCTATGTCCAGGGAGAGCTTTTTTTTTTAAATTACATAACTGGACAACCCATTTGGTGAGCTACTGAATTGGAAGCCGTGAGACAGATGTTGAGTTCCTTAAGAGGAAAGACAAGTATTCCTGAGGAGGAGTGGGAAGCTGCTCTAAATACTAAAGCTTGAAGATGCTTTGTCCCATGTACTTGTAAAAGAGCCAAAGAAAGAGATGGGAGACCCTGATGGGAAGTGGCCCCAGTCTTCAGAGTTTTCTAGAAAGGTACAGATGTCAGGGCACAGTGACATTGCCACTGTAGTGGGCAGTGTTTCATCCTCTGTTCCAGGACAAAAGACATCTGGTAGGAACTGATGGCTTCAAAGCCAAGTCACCTAATTGTTGAACATTTGCTGCCTTACAGAGAGAACACTGGGTTCCCTGTATTTGTACCTAGAGGGCAATGCTGAGCTGCGCTAAAGGTCAAAGTGACCTTTGACTGGAGGGGGAACCTTCTCTTATATTCACGGTGATTTTCCTGCTCTCTGGGATGGAGTGCCTGTGACCATTACAGATGGTCGGCATTGAGGTTTTTCTTTGTGGATCAGTTTGTTCACTCCCTGGAGCGTGCTGGTGTTGCAGGCTCAGAAGTCCAGGCCCTAGCTCAGACCTGCTAATGAGTCTCTGCATTTTTACAAGACTCCTAGGTGTGAACTTCCAAGTTTAAGAAGACTTTTGTAGTAGACAGTGAAGGTGGAGAGTCGCAGGTTATTGCATTATAGGAATAGTGAAGAAGACTCAAAAGAAGCAAAATTTCAATATGAGTAATTCATGTTCAGAAGAATGTTGACATATAATAATGATTTTTTTTTTACAATTTACATAGTTTTAAGTTTTCTTTCTCCCCCTCCTTTCTCTCTCTCTTTTCAATTCTGAGACTCAAACCCAGAGCTTTGCTCATGCTAGGTGAGCACTCTGACCACTGTCCCACATCCCCAGCCATTTCTGCTTGTAACAAGGCGGAGCATCCTAGGCTGTATGGGAGGGCAGAGTCAGAGAAGATGGTGGAATGGGATTCTGACTCCGTGGGCTGTCACAGCCTCATCAGAGTACAGAGATTTGAGCTTCAGGTTAGAACTTGAAGGGGAGTCTAGGAACCCTCAGAGTTGACACAGCACACTGAAAGACCTCCATTGCTGTATTAGAAAAAGCAACTGAGGGTCAATGAAATGGCTCAGTGGTGAAGGCACGTGCCACCAAGCCTGACAGCCTGAGTTCCACCCAGAAACCCACACGGTGGAGGAAAGCTGACTCTGCAAAGTGTTCTTTGGCTTCTGCTCAGGCACTGTGGTATATGAGTGTATTTGCTTACCCCTCCCCGCAACACACACACACACACACACACACACACACACACACACACATATATATATAGAGAGAGAATAAATGTAGAAAGATTTAAAAAGATAAATATGCACTTACGGAGACCATGAAATGCTTAGAATGGTAAACATGACTTAAACTCAACTTGTATTTCCTAGTGGATATTGAGAAGAATCAGTTCATTCTAGAAAGGTGTCTACTTAGCACTCTGCTCCACTTAAATGGTGACTCTGGGTCTGAAGGCAGGATGGAACCTGCTTTCTCTTTGGTGGTCGCTCAGGGCAGAACTCACCTCGTTCAGCTGTGTGGGTTTGACCTCTAGGCTATGTGTCCATGTGTCTGGAACAGCTCTTCTTTGACCACAAGTACTGGCTCAACTGCAGGCTGGTGGATGACACAGAGATCCAAGTGTCTGTAGATGACAGTCACTTGGAGAAAATATACCTGGGCCTCTTACTGCAGGAAGGTGAGTCTGGCATGGGATTTGGGGTGGGAGCCGCATTGAGATGTTGTTATTGGAGTCCCTCAGATGATTAAGATACCAAAAGAGGAAGACATGCATTAGCCAACCCGTCTGTTGTAACGAAACTTCAAACATCCCTCTCAGCCTGGTCCTGGCATCATGCAAACAGTTGTGTTAGTTGGTCTCACTGATTCATATTCAGGGAGATTGGAGGTTTGGAGGGTGGGCTGCCAGGCTCTCCTAGACTGGTAGAGTTCTTGGAGGTGGGGACCCTGGCATTGATTGGCATTTTAAAAATAGTTTCCCATGTAATTCTAATGATCTCCAGGATTGTGAGACGGTTCTATGAACACATGATGTAATTTGAGTGTAAAGTAAATTTATAACTCGGAAAACCCAAATTTTTTTCATGAAATTCAATAACAATGCCGAGGAGTCAGCTGAAGCACCCTATCTGACCTTTTCACAAGGGTAGATGCCGTCAGACTTACAGTTGTTCAAGTCTGATCACTTAAAACATATTGGAAGCCAGATTGGTTCCCAGTAGTTTTACAAGAGCGATTCTCTTTCCAATCCCATTGCAAACCCCTTTGATGGAGTCTGTGTTGCACCAATGCAAAGTTCAGTCAGAGCCATTGCTTCCATCTAAACTGATTTCCTTTCTCTCAGTGGCTCTGAGTGAATCACAGGGTTGCAAAGACAGCCAGAGTTTAGTAAATGCACACATATTTCCAGGATGGGGGGGGCGGTTTACTTCATCTCTATTTTTTGAGGAAAAGCCCAATTTAGCTGTATTCTCCCCCATTACTCAGATCTGTTAGTATTGATTTTAAGGGAACACCCCGTCAGTGGCTGTTCTTACTCCTCGGGATCACAGTTCAAAGTCCTTGTGCTTCCTCCTGGACAGTGGACTTTACTCAGAGAAAGAAAGTTGTCTGGGCTCTGCTTCTAAGTGGTACCTTATCGGAGATTCTCCCGTTGCCAGCTACTCCTTGGAATGTTTTTCTCGTTCTCTGCAGGCCACTTCTTCTGCAGAGCCACCTGCTCCGTGGCTCAGCCAGATGAAAAGGATGGGGAATATTTGACACTGTGCAAGAATGAGCTAATCTCCGTGCTCCCGGAAGGCGAATCTGAGTGGGAAAGCGTGTCTTTAGTGACGGGTCAGAAGGGCCTGGTGCCTGTGTCAGCCCTGGAGCCCCTGTCTGTCCCTTTCCATCAGTGAGTAGCTGCCCACTCCCTGGGGGAGGGTCCTGAAGCCCACCGAAACTTGTACAAAATAGAATAGATATCCTTTTAGCTATAGTATTCCTGGTGTCTGGAAGAAGACAAAATTGAGGTGACTTTTTAATACCCTAGTCTATTTTGATTGTATTATTTGATGAAAGTGGAAGAAAACTCTAAGTTTTAGATGAACATAGTATATAGGATGAAATGTATGACCTCTATCGAAGAGCTTTTCTGTTTTTAAATTTATTTTTATTTTATGGGCATTGGTGTTTTGCCTGCGTGCATGTCTGGGATGGTGCCAGATCCCCTGAAATTGAAACTACATGCAATTGTGAGCTGCCATGTGGGTGCTGGGAATTGAACCCAGGTCCTCCGGAAGAGCAGTGTGTGTTCTTAACCACCAAGCCATCTCTCCAGCCTCTTGAAGTGCTTTTCAATGCACGGACTAAGACCACTTAAATCAGGGTCACCTGAGGGTGTTACTGTGAATTCAGCTCCCTGACCCTCCTCTGAGTCTATTGGTATTGGACCCAGAAACTTCCATTTTAGATTATCTCCTCAGGCATGTTCTTCCCACTGGAGGATATGGTAAACTTGAGATTATAGAGCGATACCATTATTTCACTTCTTACACAGTCTGCCTGATCCTGGCAGAACTGGCAGTGAGGATACTAAAGGTTGTGTGTAAATTACTTAACTGGCAGGAGAATTGCAGAGCTAGGAAACATCCCAAACTTTCATCTTTACAGCGTAACGTAAGCTCTAAGTTTGCTGCCATTAAAATAAGATTAAATAACAGTGACACCACCATCATTTTTCTATGGGACTATTCTGTTCATTGTTATAACATCTTAAAACTTCCTGTTTCCACTGGCAGATGGTTCCTAAAGAATTACCCAGGAATCTGTGGTCTTCCCAGGAAGAGAGACTGGACAGGTTCCTGTCATATTGGTATGAGATGAAAGCAGCATTGATGGGCCGATGATATTCTCCTGCTTCCTGGTCTCACTGCTGGAATGTGGGAAGTTGGTTACTGTCTGCATGCCTGGGGTCTTTGCCTGTGACGTGAGATTCTGGCCAGGGCTGAGGAAACAGATCCCTAACTACATGAACAGGCAGAACACATATATGTGGAGAGGGCTGGGGGAGGGATGTTAGGGAATGGGGTGGGTGAGAGAGATTTAAAGATAGATCGATAGAAAAAAAGGCTCGCATGGGCCAAACGAAACAATTTTGAGTCAAATGTGACCTGCAGGCCACTGGTTCCCAACTCTTTACCCAAATATTTTCTGATTTTCCATAGCATGATGTGATTTAGGGGGACTATTAGTGCCTAGGACATAGTGAGTACCCAGGAAACACTGGATGAATAGATAATGGACTATGCACACATCTACCTGTACACACACACTAACACACACACACACACACCCACATCCCCCCCCACACACCACATGTCAGCTAATCTCTGTCTACACACACACACACACACGTCGCTGTTTATGTGCTAACTAGATAACAAAATATCTAAAATACACTGCTGAAACTGTATCCTTGCAACTCCCTATATTCTAGTACATTTTATTATGTATCTCTAGTTTTAAAAAAAATAGTTTTACAAGTCCCAAACCCTAATGACACTTAAAACAACTAGGAGGAGTCACAGAATCAAAGTATTAGAACTTTGCAGTAATTGGCCATAAGCAAGGGTATTAGCATTTGAAGAAACACAACCTGTGTACAGTCAGAACTATGGGACTTTGGAGTCTGTTGTGGTTTACACAACCTCACACCGGCACTCCCTGCCTTCACTGGGCTTCTATCTTCTCAATAAAAAAGTGGTGTAATTAAGCCAAACGCTGTCCCAAGAACTACGCAGATGTGCAGGAGAGGTGGTCAGTAGCTGGGAAGCGTGACTGCAGGTTAACCCCTTAGAGCATCACTCAACACTGCTTCCCTCCATGAAGAGGGAATTCTGCTGGGTACTCTGTTTGGCATTCAGCCCCCAGGAAAACCTGAGAATGGAAATGTGCTTTGTAAACTAGACAGTACCATACTCAAAAGCATTGTTACTGGATCCTAGGGGAGCCATTCATCAAACTTGGTAATCCCTATAGCTTTAAGGGTAATCCCAGAGCCCTCTGGTTTCCCTGCAGCACCCTGTTCTACCAGCGATTGTACAGTAGCATCTTCGGAAAGTCCACTAGGTACCAGGCATGATGCACTTTGCATTTGACTCCAGTATTGAAGAGCATCAGGTGTCACAGTGACTGAAGCAGCTGGAAGGAGATGTAGGCATCTTCTGCTGTAAAGATTCTTAAGCACTGCTCTGGGGTCTTGTGCCAAGCATGGTGATGAGATGTACGATGGTGGTAGAATCTGTTGAGGATAATACAAGGAACATCCCAATTTCCTATAAGCTTAACTAGTTTAAAGGCGTGCATATTCTGTATTCTGAGAATATCTTCCTTATACTTGTGTCTTTTCTTTTTTTAAAAAAATGATAGTGAAAAGCATTTGGATTGTAGCTCCTTTTTGTATTGTTCTAGTTTGGTAAAATGAAAAACCTACTAGCCCTGGCCATTCCTACCAGTTTGATTTGTGTGTGTGTGTGTGTGTGTGTGTGTGTGTGTGTGTGTGTGATCTGACTAAATTATTAAAATTCCTTAAGGCTGGGATACTCTAGCCTGTATCACACTGATAGACAGGGGAAGATTCACTCCTATATAGCTTTCTAGTTGACCTGTATGATGTCTTCTACAGGCAGAGGACGGTGCAAGGCCCTGATGGATTACAAACAAGAGGAAAAGGATGAACTGAGCTTCCTCCAGGGAGAAAGCATTGAGATCCTTGGCTTTGTTATCCCCGGGCTGCAGTGGTTCATTGGGAAGTCAGTGACCTCAGGAGAAGTGGGCTTTGTCCCCACCAGGAGCATAGATCCAGATTCCTGCTCCCCAGTGTGAGTATGTTTGATGTCCCAGCTGACTTCCCCAGTGCTCTCTTCCCCTCTGAGCAGCTTTGCAGAGGGTGGAGGGGGTACCCTGGATGTGGAACCAGAGGGTCTCCTTCTGACATCCAAGGTGGACACAGGAAGTTCTAGGAAGGAGGCACAATCAAAGAAAGAATCATCTCAGTTCTCTTCAACAGTTGTTCTTTGAGGCCTCGCTGTGTTCAAATGGAGAAGCAGAGCCTCAAGACCAAAGGCTCTGCACCAAGGGTACATACAGCACAAGGTTCTGGATCCCATCACTTACCATGTCCAGTCAAAGGATGAACCTAAACAGAGAGCAGAAGATTACTGGCTTGGTCAATGACATTCCTGTTAGGTCAGGGAGGCAGGTTCTTTGGAGATGTTCATACACTTGGTGTTCAGGTTAAAATTTGAACTTGTGAAGTCAGTCCTGGCAAGGAGAACCAGAGGTACCTTCTCCTCCTCTCTGGTTCTGATTCTGGAAGGGCTGGTTCTGAGGAGCAAACCTATGCTTCTGATCAATTGGCAGCAGGTGGGTAGTCCATCCAACCCCCTGTCATGGGAAGGGCAGAGACAGGCAGTGCTGCCTGGTCTGTTTGGGTGGGCTTCCCAAGGTAATAGGGAAGCAGAAAGTCAGGCTCAGGCAAGCACACAGGGAAAGGTAAATCTGCCTCCATACACGAAGCCACTGTGGCCACAGTCTTCCACAGTGGGGGAATATCTAAAGCTACACAGAGATTATCTAAGGCTATCAAAGGAAAAACCAAGGCTACATAAGGAATATTTAAGGTTATCTGAGGATTCTCTAAGGTTACGTGAAGGATATTTAAGCCTATGTAATGGGTATCTGTGAGCCCATAAAGAACATTTATGGGTACATTTGAAGTATCTAAGGTTACATAAGAAGTCACTACAGCTACACAAGAAATATCTAAGACTACATGAGGAGCATCTATGGCTCTGTAAGGAATACCTAAGACTACATTAAAAATACCTCTGGCTACATTAGGAATATCTTGCTGCATAAGTAATAGATAGCTACAGCTATAGAAGGAATATCTAAGACTACCCAAGGACTATCTAATGCGTTCAGTATTTATACTAGGATTATTTCCTCTCTCATGAAAAAGAGTCAACCAAGAGAGTAGACAGAGGGCAGAAACTCCCTCTGTGATCTGCCATTTCTAGGGAGAGGAGAAAGGCCATTTTTCTATGTAGAAGTGCGAAATCTGAATCCTTGGACAGGGAAGGCACTCCTTGCCATCTTGGGAGGGGCGGAGGACAGTAGGGATTTATAAAGTGGACAGGGCTGTCAACAGAACTCTCAGGAGAGGGAGTTAGGCAGAGGAAATGGGAGAGACAGGAGACAGGGGATATGGAAAAGGCTGGTGGGAGGAAAGGGAAGGGGGAAATTATGTTATTACATTTTAATTAAAATAAAAAATAGAAAAAATACAAAGAAGGCACAGGAGAGAGAGGGAGAGGGAGGGAGGGAGGGAGAGAGAGAGCAAGAGTGCTATTACGAGAAAGGCGACTTTTGAGTTAAACTTTGCATCATGGGAAAAAGGCAAGTCATCCTCTTGGAGACAGGTTACCTGGAGGACACTGGTATAGCCAAGACCTGGCATGGCTTTCCCTGAGGCAGAAGGTGGGGAGACTGTGTAGGGTGTTCCCTGTACCTTACGGAGGATGCCGAGTGTCTGAATGTCTGCAGAGGCTGAGAGATGATGGGTGCTGCCTGGCTTTGGGTGAGGTATATATCAACAGGGCACTGACTAGGAGACAGGAATCCGGGGACAAGGCTAAGGCTGGGATCCTGGAGGAGGAGTGTGGAGGGGGAGGAGACTCTGGGGCTGAGTAGCAACCACCAGGAAGTTAAGGAATCTGAGAGACTTGCACCAATGAATATCTGTGTCTTGCCCCCAAAGACTCCATCTACATATTCTGAGAAGGGCTTGGGCCATGATAGTTATAGAAGGTGGGGCTAGCTGGCAGCCAGGTGAAAGATACCAGTCTAAATGACCACTTTATTTTTTGTAGGAGGTGGAGAGTAGGGACATCCCAGGAAAGGGGCTTGAATCCAAAGCCCTGTATCTAGAACACTAGAATCTCAGCATCAAATGTATGAATCCAGTAACGGAGGTCCTGATGAGAGGAAGAAAGAAGGAAAAGAGCAGAGACTTAGTGGGGAAAGAGCCATTTCCATAGCTGAGGAGGGAAGCAGAAAGACTACAAAAGGAGGCCCCTGAAGAAGGAGCTGCCCAGGAGACGCTGGGGTGGCTAACACTGTTACTGGCATCAGTGGGTGAGGATGACTGGCTGGGAAACGGCCTTTGTGGCTGACAACAGGAAGGATTTGTAGGTATAGAAGCTTACCGTTTTTCAGATTTCTGGATTAGACTGGCTAAAAGATCTCATGTCTTCAAGAACTAACCAGCTCTGTGCTTTGCACATAGTGAGTTATCTTTCTGGCCCTCAGTTTTCCTATTTGTAAAATGTGTGTGATGTTAGCTCTACCTGATAGGGTTGCCATGAGCCTAGATTAGATCATGCACACGGAGCGTGCAAACCTGGTACGGTGTGTCAGTGTTTGGTGTCGTGGCTTTTATTATTGCATCGCTGTCACCATTGTGCATGCTAATCTTCGAGGTTCAGTTTTAATAGGATGTTAGAGGTTGGTTTTCAAGTTTATCCATTGTATTTGGAATTCTGTGACTCAGACACTGCCCAGATGACAACTCGGGCTCACTAAGTTGGTTTGGTGCTTAGCTATAAGGTCACCTTCTCTCACCGAGGAACAGCATTGTCCACATCAAAGGGTGTGGCAGTGCCCTGGTCATCTGTGGGATCCAATGCATCAGAAACTGCATATTTGCAGTTAGGGGATAAGACTCAGGAACCAGGGAGTAGTGGGAGAGGTAGGGAGACCTTTTGCCCTTATATCCCTAGAAGTACTCTTTGGACTGACTACAGATGTCCCTGGACCACAGTAAGGATGGAGCGTGAGTTTAGAGGTCAAGATCAGAGGTATGACAGTCGAGCAATCTGGCCTCACATCAGCACACTGCTGAAGTTCCTGTGTGTTATGCCTGGGCAGTGTGCCTGTCAATGCCACAGGGTGCCGCTCTTAGACTGTGTCTGTTTATTTGTGAAGGGTTTTTGAGAAAGACGGCAGTGTTTGCTTACATCACACTCTTCCTAGTGTCCCATAAATGGTGTGAACATGAATGTATAGGACCTTTTATGACATTGGTAGGTGTACATGTCTGTATGCATACCCAACTGTCTATGTGTTGAGAACTACGTTTCCCCAGGGTTGTTTTCAAAATAGCCTTTGACTGGTGCTTTAGCCCCGTGGCAAAGGGATGCTTGTCCAAGGAAGCAAAGGGATGTGGTTTCTTTTGACAGAATTTTAATGACAGCCACCTAGATTCACAGTAATGGCAGCTAGAAAACAAGCCTGTAAAACTTGCGGCAAGCATTTATTTTATTTTATGTTTATTAAAGTTCAAGAACAGTCTTATTTGCACTTGAAATAATGCAGAACCCAGGGCAGGCAAGTTATAAATCTCAACCACTGCCCAGAGGAGGAGCATAGAATGGAGGAAAGCCTGTGATATTTCAGCTAGCATGGAAGTCAGCCACATGGAGGAAGGGAGGGGAACATTGGAGAAAGAGGAAGGAAACCAAAATCCTAAGGGAAAAGATACTTAGAAAAGAGACAGACAGAAGAAAAGAAGTTAAACTTTTCTGGATAATTTAAAAAAGTGGACAGACTTAAAGAAGTCGCATGTTTGAACCTGGTGCACTTCTGCATAAGGGGTGGGGATTCTGAGAAGGAAAAAGGACAGTATCTCATTAAAGGATAAATTCTTCTGCCTATCTCTTTGGCATGACTTAAACAGAACCTGCCTTCCTTGGGGTACTACTCCTATGGCCAGGTGATCAACCTGGCTCAACTGGAACACTAGGCCAGAGGCTGGATTCTTTTGACCAGAAGTTTATTTTTCTTTTTAATCTCTAATTTTTATGATTTCATTTTATGTGGTTGAGTGTTTTGCCTGCATGTATGTCTGTATAGCATGTACATGCCTGGGGACTGTGGAGGCCAGTAGATGGTGTTGAATCTCCTAGTTACAGATGGTTGTGAGCCACTTTATGGGTGGTGGGAATCAAACCTGGCCATCTGGTTTGATCAAGTGCTCTTAATGGCTGAGCCATCTCTGCAGCATCCAGAAGTTTTCTTTTATTTTTTAAAGATTTTATTTATTTTATAGTATACAGTGTGCTGTCTGCATGTATACCTGAAGGCCAGAAGAGGGCACCAGATCTCATTACAGATGGTTGTAAGCCATCATGTAGTTTCTAGGAATTGAACTCAAGACCTCTGTAAGAGCAGGCGGTCCTCTTAACCACTGAGCCATCTCTCCAGTCCCAGAAGCTTTTTCTTATTGGGCCTTTATTGCTACTGTAATTCCCTACTCTGAATAAGTTACCCTAAAATCATTTAAAAACCAGATCAAGGATCAGCACCCCCAAACAATTCTGGCATCTCTGGCCTTTAGCAGGAACGATACTGCGAAGAACCCAAGGACATTTCTTGATTTTAGCCAGGAAAGAAACTGGCTATTTTTCTTTGAGATTTTTTTTTCCCATTTAGGCAAATTGATCAATTTCTAGTTCCTTTTCTTACCACTTCCCTCTGAAGAGGGAACCCCAATTGCCATTATAGAAGTCTGTCGATGACTGACTTGGCTTTGTCGAGCTGGATGCGGGTGTCAGGTGTAGCGTGTGGGGTACTCCATCCAGTGGGTCTATCTGAGATGCCAAAAAATTCTTTGGCTGCTTCCTTTGGATAACTGTCAGGTGTGAGGAAAAGAAGCCTTTGATTGGTGCCTGGGAAGAGATGTGAGGGAGAAGTAAAGGGAAAAGGTATGAGAATGACAAGCCCTAGACATGGAACCAGGAGAAACCAGAGCACAGGTTAC